TATTTCTTCGTCTTAAGGCTAACAGCAATTAAGTCATTATTTTTACAGTTTATGCCTCTCACCACTTTTTCAGTTCCATTAGAATTTGTCTTTTCTCCGACTGTGTACCTATTTTTAATATGGTGTTTGATATATACGAGCTGAGGCCAGAAGAGGTTCAGGCTCATCACCATACAGCTGAAATTTTGGAAATGAATAACAGCAGCCAGTGAATATGAGTAATAAAGAAAATGGGACTATAGGCTTTGCTCTTTATTAAGAGGAAGGAGGGAAAGAAACTGTTCAACATCTACACATTTGTTCTCGTTAGCAGTTATCATAATCTCCTTTTAAATATTTAATGTTTTAATCCTTAATATGTAATAAATTTCCATCTGATAGAATATATACTTCATAGGTCCCTTAAAACATAAACTTCTTCAGCCACATCAAATTTATTATTATTTATCCAAAGAAAATATTTAACATATTTAAATATATTTTTATCTTGCTACATGTTTTTTTCTTTTTTCTTTCATTTATTATTTTTATATTATGTGTATGTGTACTGCCTGCACATATGTAAGTGCACCCATGTCATGTAATGCCTGTGGCAGTCAGAAGAGGGTATCAGATTCCCCTGCAACTGGAGTTACAGACGATTATTAGCTGCCATCTGGGTGCTAGGAATCAAACCTGGGTCCTCTGCAAGAGTAGTGTTCTTAACCACTGAGTCACTCTCCAACCCACTGCATGCTTTTTCTACAATAGCATTGTTTTATTTTGAAGAAGGAGTTCCTATCTTGACTTTGATTCTTCTGTCAGAGATTTACTATTGGAGACAAACAGATCCATGGAGAATCCCTTGATCTATAGCCTCACAAGAGACATCAAAATACCAATTTTCACGTGATACTCATGAGACATATTTCACCAGGATAACAAAATTTGAGCCATAGGGGCATGGGAATGCACTCTAAGTTTCACAACACATTAATATAGCATTATGCTCTAGATGATATCATAGTTCGAAACCTATTTCCTATACATTCCTCAGAAATTTTGATAAAAGTAAAAATTGGACTGATACTTTAAAATAACATTTTAAAAAGATTAACATGATATAAAATTTTAATGTGGAAAACATTAGGAACCTGTATCATGCTTCTAGATTAACAGACCAGGAATCTAAATTTCAAAGTGTGCATTGCTTCTTCAAAGACCATAGCTGTCACAGAGGCCATGTCTCACTAACAAGCTCCTTGAACCAATTTTATAAACTTTCAAATGAACCTGAAGTGAAAAAAATGCAATACAATTTCTTCCTTCAGATACAAAAACTGGTGGATCTACAGAACAAGGAACTGATGGCATTTTTTTAACATCATCTTCTAATCACCACTGTAGCCAACATAAATTCCTACAATTCTCTCTGTCTAGTCACAACTGAATATGATTTTCCAGTCACTGGTATCTTTAACAAGCACACTAAACACACACAATCACTCAGGAGAGAGGCTATTCTTTTACATTTGATAAATGTTTTTGAAAAGACTCCAAACACATATTTCATTTAAATATTTTTAAGTCGAGGAAGTGTTCTTATTCATTCAATCTGTGAATATATAAACACACACACACACACACACACACACTAAGTTGGCAAGGAATTAATGTGAGAATCATAGCATGTATTTTCACAGTAGGAAATACTAAAAACTGAAATGGAACACTCTAGATACAGTTCTACAATGGACAGAATTCTTAATTGAGCTTAGTAGACATTTGCATATACCACTGGAAATATACAGTTCAGTAGATACTGGTGGAACAGAAATATGATAGAGAACTCTCCTCATTCTTAATTTAGAATTTTCTAAAGGAGGGATAATTTTAATGTATTTACTTTCCCTACACCTCCCAAGCCCAAACTATCCACCATCATCTCTTATTTAAATCACAGCCATCACTCTTGAAAATGTTTCCTTTGCTGTACTTTGAGCATTCTATCCTGTCTTCTCAGTGTGGTCCATTATAGCACTTGTAGAACAGTTTCTTAGCTTGTTCTGCAAAGCCCCATGGGTGCCTGGTTCTTCCGCTGCAGCCTCATCTTGCATTTGCCCAGTTGGCTTATTCTCCTCCGTCACATGAGCTTTCTGCACTGCTCTAAACACAAGTTCCTGCTTGCCTTGGAGTGTTCACCTTTCTAATACTTCTGTTGGTACCTAGCACTTCAAGTAGCTGGCTTATTCATGGAGATTTCATACACTCCCAGATGCATTACTTAGTAACCCTTTTTAAGTAATCCTTCATTTTTTATCTCATTCACCTTTGAAAGATGACATCACCATGTTTATTTGCTTTGTAGAATGTTCTGAAAAGAGAACAGTGTCATGTACCTAGTGGGTATAGCTTATAAATATTAAAATTAGAATCTTTGTCTAAGAATCTTAAGCTAAATCATGACATGAATTTGACATTCCTAAACTCTACACACAAGACTTAATGACAAAAATGTCTATTTGCTTAAATGCCAATGCTGTAAAATGAAATAGAGCATATATTATAAAGTAAAAAAAAAACAATGAGACATTAAGAAATGTTGAATTTGGGCTAGAGAGATGGTTTAGCCTTTAAGGGCTCAGCCTCACAACCTAAACATCAAGAAATGCGGAATTTACTCAATTATACCAAATTTGGTTAAATTATCTTTATTTCACTAGGCCCATTCTATATGCATGTAAAATAGAGGACTTCTACTAATGTAAAACTAATTTTCCAGCTCTAAAATTCAAATATTGAGGTAGAATCTTTCAAAGGACAATCAGTAAGAGTCTTATAATATACAGTTTCATAACCCAAACAGAATAAACAAGGAATGTCAAGTTTTCAGTTATGGTTTTCTTGTTCATTTGCATATTATGTACCTTAATTACGTTTCCTTTTTAATGACTCATTTTGAGTCTCTTTGATTTATATTTAAAAGCCAGAGAAATATTGAGTGATGTAAAATTTCATAAAATGCTTAAAATTACACTTTATAAAATTCATAAAAGTTCTTATTCTCTGAGAAAGAAAATACACTTCTTATAATCTGTATAAGCCTAAAATTAAAAATATTTCAGTAGCACTAAGGGAAAAAATCAATTTTACACATGCATTTAAAGATATGAACTATCATAATTTTCCAAGTAACATAAAAAATAAAGGAATTTCTTGTATCTTCTGGTGAAGTAAATCCAAAATAAAATTCTCATGGAAAGGAAGAGAGGTCAAATGAACAGGGGTAGTCAACTCCTAAAATTAATGTAACAGTGATTTTTCCCCCCTTTTATGAACTCTCAAAGCAACTAAAGTCATAAGTTAAGGTTTCCGTTTTCAAAAAACATTCTGACAGTACTGGAAATTGAACACAGGGTCTCCCGTGTGCTAGGTAATTGCTCTACCACTGAGCTACTGCCCCACCCCTCACAGTGATTATTAAAAATAACAGTTCAATCCCAGCACTTAAGAAGCAGAGGCAGGCAAATCTTTGTGAGTTCGTGGCCAGCCTGGTCTACCTAGTGAGTTACAGGACATACAGGGAGACCCAGTCTCAAAAAAAGACAAAATAAAATAAAAATAACAATTCAAATGTGGCAATGAGGATGTATAAAGAAATTCATTGTAAGAATACCTACACAGGATATAATAATACTGGAAATAAGCTCAGGAAATAGAACAAGCAGAACTAGTTAGAAACAAAGGAAATATGAGCAGAAAGATAGGGAACAAAATATTTCCCCAAACCCACTGGCTTTTCACACTCCAGAAAAACACACAAATACTTTAATGCTTGTAGGGGAACTCAAAACATTAGGTATGACAAAAATCCCTAATTTCAAATGCTTCATATAGGAACATTCATAAAAGTAAATTCTGCAGCCAAGTTGAATTATCCAACTCCTTTCTTAACATAGCAGTAAAAGAGGAAAATTGGACATAGTAGTGTAACATGTTCTTTGATGTTATATCCTACATTATGGTGGCAAGAAACAACGTCACAACTCTAGCTTCACAATAATGTACATCCCCAAATGCACTCGTGGTTGGTTAAGTGTTCCTCCATTTTATTATTTCCATTCTTGTACACTTGCAGCCTGTCACTGATTTATTTTTACTAGCTGGAAACTGAGAGAAAGAATTAATAGTATATAACCATATTAGCTTTATTTCCTAAAGATTTAATTTCTACCCACTTTTAAGTTTACTACTTGATAATAATACATCAAAGTCAACAGTAATAAAGAAGCATTACTTTTTTCAAGGCATTAGCAAAAAAAAAAAATGCTTTTTGGCTCTTGAGAACATTTTCAACTGTAAATCTGATAGACATAGCACATCTTAACCAAAACCAACTAGCTATATGTTTTGTAGGTTGAATACAAAATTCACTATAATGAAAGGTTGGAGTGTGTCAGAGTTATTATGTAAGCTCATGCTGGATTAATTAAGGCCAAGGCTAGATGGCATGAGACAGCCATTCCTTATACTTGTTACAGCTCTGCTTGACCTCATTCTTAGGAGTTGATAGGCTGGTTATACATCCTTATCTTCCAGAAAGCAAGACTCCGAGGCCAAAATATAAACTTCTAAAATGGCAAGATCCCATGCTCAGTGAGCAATGCATTATCATTTAGAATGATGAAAGTAGCTAATATTTTTATTATAAACTACACATCAGGCAAAGAGCTAGATACTTTCCTGGTGTGATCTCATTTAAACTCCGCAATAAACTTGAAAGAAACAACTGGAAAACTGCCTTCCCCATTAAAGTCCAATGAAATTTACTGAAGGAAAAATATAACACAGAACCCTCCTGAATGTGGCTATTGTAAATGAAAAGGGAAGAATGTGGCATGAGGCTAAATGCGCAACAGGAGCCTCAACCTCTTCTCAGAGGTCCCTGACCAGCCAAATCTAAATTTCAAATCAGTACTAATGGCAAAATTTGGGGCATGTAAAAAACTCTCACCACTCACCATAATGCATGTAACAGTTTCCTTTGGTGGGATCCAGCTCAATAGCCTTCAAGAAGAACTTTTCAGCCTCACTTTTACGACCCTTGAAAAACAGAAAATGGATGATTCAGCAACAGATCATGACTGATTCTTCGCCTGCTGGGCACAAATGAAGCACACCAATTTTGTTAGTAAACAGCTCTAGGAAAAAACGCCCTTGTTTTCATCTAAATGAGGATGACCAGGGAGAATATGTTCAGAGTAAAGACTGAGGTCAGGATGCTAGGAAACAGCAAGAAGAGAAGAAGAGATGACAGTGAGCCCATCAATGAGATCCAAAGGCCACAGAGTTGGAAAGCTTTTGTAAAGTTTCATAGCAAACAAAAGGGTAAGATGGGATTAAAGAAACATCATTATCATTTGCTATTTTCTTTGTGTAGGTGTGTGTGTGTGTGAGTGATGGTGTGTATGTTGATGTGTGTACAGATGCACATGTGAATACAGATGCATGTATGGAGGGCAGAAGACAACCTCAGGTGTCATTGCTCAGGTACTGTAGACCTTGTGTTTTGAGACAGGGTCTTTTATTGACCTGGAAAAAGCCCCTGGTAGGCTAAGTGATCTGGCTAGGGTGCCCCAGAGATGTTTCTGCCTCCCCTCCACTGGGATCAAAATTATGAAGTGAAGATCACCCAATTGTTTTTTGTTGTTGTTATTGTTTTGTTTCATTTTTGTTGTTTTTTTTTTAAATGTGATTTCTGAGGGTCAAGCTCAGATACTTGCACTTTACCAACTGAGCTGCCTCCCCATTTTCTGTCTTATGTTCTGCCTTCAATTTCTTTCCCTTTCACTGCTTCTTTAGTTCCTTGTACAAAATACTTGACATATTAGCTTTGGGAATGACTTTATTCCAATCACTTTTTGTTCTTTGATTATACGCAAGAAGCAACTACCATTTCCTCTTAATAAAGAGAAGTATTCTCTCAGCTCACACACATCACAGCTATTACTACTGGTGAGAATTACACATGGGGATTGAAGAGATAGTAAAGATCCTACCTCCCAGCTCCATTCTGGGTTATTCTACATAAATTTACTTCATATGGAGGCAGATGAACCAGGCAAGGACTTTGACACAGGAATTCTAACCCAGAGAAAGATCTGCTCTGCTATGTGTCACTGGAGCAAAGTATCTAGAGCATGCGTCTGTCTATGAACATATCTTCTGACCATCACTAGAGTCTTAGTGAAATTTTTGGATAGAAAAAGAGAACACAAGTTGAAAGGTGGGACAGACCTGTAATCCCAGCTAGTTAGGACACTGAAGCAAGAGGAGCCCATGTTCAAAGCTTGCCTAGGCTACAGCATGAGCTCAAGGCTAACCTTGGAACATAATGAGATCTTATCTCAAAAATAGTAAGAAAGGAATTTCAGCCAGTCTAGGATATACAAGGCTCTAGGCACAATCCCCAGTAAACACACACACGCACACACACACACACACACACACACACACACACACACACACACACAGAAACAGAGCTCTAGTCTATGCTGAAGAGGAACTCTTTGCCATGCCAATTCTCTTCTCTGATCCTTCATCTACATTGCACTTGAGGGAAGTTATTCCCTCCGGGGGCAGCTCAGGGATTTCAAACGTTAAACAGAGTCAGGGTTAAATGACAGACTACAAAGAAAACATGTGATATGTCCTCAAAATCAGGGAGTTTTCTCTCTCCTTCCCTCATAATCTTTGGAGTCCGGAGGGCACAAACATTGGTCTCATGTGATGAAGGCCATGCTAGCTCTCCCTTAGACATCCCTTTTGCCATTCACAAATGTTCCCTTGTGAATGTAATCACTCACTTCCCATGAAGAAACAAAGTCACAATTTGAAGAATTTCTGACAGCTTGTTGTCACTCGGAACTGAAGGTCTGCTAACCGGGCATTTAATCTGAAACTATGTTTTCTTGTTAGCCTGAGTTTTAAACAAATATTATCATACTCACAAGAAAATAAACAACAGGGAGAAATGTTTGCATGCAATAAACTGTTTTTGTCTTAAAATAATATAATCCAGGCAGATTTTGAAACTATGCATTCTTCACCTGGTTATTGTTTCTGCACCACAGTTTATTCACGGTAACAAAGACGTGGCCAAGGTAGGAGACAAGCACTAAGAGGAAATCTGTGAGAGTTCTCTCTGGCCCTGCTGGCTGGAATGAGGATCTATATGGATTCCAAGTGACCAGGAAGCACTGCATGGTGTCGAGAAATCATCATCTACAGTAAATTGTAACCTGTTGCTTTTCATTTATTCATTAGTACATTTTCAGGCAAAGATTATTTCTTTCTTCATACATATATAATTATATATTGGATTTATTTTTATTTTATGTGTATGAGTGTTTTGTCTGCACTAAGTGCACCACATGTGTGAAATGCCCATTTACTTTCAGACATGAGTAACAGCAAGAATTTTTACCAAGTTAGGGTTCCCTCAATAATTTATTAACTCTAAAGAACCAGGCAGCCTAAATGTATGAGGTAGGAGAAAAGATTCCGGACAGGCAGAGCAAATCCCACGCTGACCAATGGAAAATCATTTCATCCTTTAGCTGTGCTCTGCTCTAATATAAGAAAGAGGATATGTGGGAGCACAGAGAACTTTCAGGATGGTGAAACCTTTCTGCATGATACACTAATCATGGATATAATCAGTGTTTATTTGCTCAAACTCAAGAGTGTACAACACAAAGAGTTAGCTCTCAAACTATGGACTTGAATTGCCTGATCCATTTGTACAAACACTCACTATCAATGCCAGGTAGTTGATTACAATGAGGAACTCTGTGAAGGGTGGTAACACATGGGGTGCATGGAAACTCTGTAACTTCTGCTCAGTTATTTTTTATAAACCTAAAACTGTTCTAAAAATAAAATCTATGAATTTTTAAGAAAATAAAATCTATTTCCTGGGATTTTTGATTACCTGAAATAGTACTCATGGAGCAGTGATATTACCTAGGTAAATTAGAAATTTGTAGCAAAAGCTGACTATTATTTATATACACACATAAGCATATATGTGTGCAGATATGAATGATAAGGACTATGTTTTGTTGTATATATAGACTCAAAACACATGTTCGTTCTTTAAATCATGGCAAAGTACTATCCAAAGAATTTAGAGGAAAGCGTAATGAAAGAGAGATGCAAAATGAAAACTAACATTAGTAAAGAGCTTGTAAAAATGGTATATGCAAAGATAATAAGGGGGCTTTGAACTTTTTTTCGACTTAAAGTTTTAAGCACAGAAAGGAAGAAACTCATTTATCAAAGTCACAGTAATCTGAGCAGTAAAATCCTCATGTATCATTTACTGGCGAAACAACAGCATAAAGCTATAAAATCATACAGCGGTACTCAAAGGACAATAGTCTGGTTGTTTAGTGGACTTTATTATTAAAGAAAATTAGACCCCAAATCTCCAATACAAAATTAACATAGAAATCCTCTTCTTCCGGGGGAAAATATTGGACCATTAGGCAAAAATGCATCTTTCTGCTTTCAAATAATGAGTAAAACAAAACCATCATGAAAGTATATAGTATTAAGAATCAATCAACTTACCAGGCAGACACATTACTAAGTCCTCGGAAAGAGATATAGTCACTGGGTAATAATCTTAAATGTAATCAAAATTATTATGTTAACTATTATTGGTTTGGGGTGATGGGAATCTTAAAAAATAAAAAGAAGCCGGGTGTGGTGGCACACGCCTTTAATCCCAGCACTCAGGAGGCAGGGGCAAGAGGATCATAAGTTCAAACTCATCACTGGCTACATAGTGATTTCAAGGCTAGCCTGGGATACATGAGATCCTGTCTCCAAGAAAATGTAAGAAAGAAAGAAGGAAGGAATGGTTGAGAGTACAACAGCATTTTGTGTAAACAAGCAAGGCAGAACAGCCATTGGTCTTGCCAGTTTCTTATATTAAGCAAAACATACATGATAAACATTTGTATGTTGGTTGTGATATTTGGATAAAAGTAGTGGTTCAGAAACCAATAAAGAAGCACTGTGCTACATATTAAAACAAAAACACAACAACAAATAACAATGCATGCATGTACACACACACACACATACACACACACACACACACACACACACACACACACGAGATAATATTGTTAAATTCATGAGAAAAACAAAACAGTACAAAACCTTGCCCTAACTGAGAGTAGTTCTGATTGGATCCTCTTCTGCTTGGTAACAATAAAACAAACAAATGCAAGATAAATAGTCAAGTTTATACCATGTATTCCACAGTGTGGGTTCAGTTTCCAGCTAATTTATTTTGTTTTCTCATTAAGCTGGTTCTGCTACTACCACAGCTCGGGAACAGGGATCCAGCTGGGTGGGTGCAAATCTAGCAGCACTGCTCCCAATGGCTGGCCAGTGCTTATTTCAACTACAAATTGTATGAATATAATAATAGACACACATATATTTTTACACAAATACACATAAATTGCCACAATAATTTTGGAAGCCCCTGATTAGAACTGGGAATATTACATGCACAGGAGAATTATACCACGACCCCACCAGATGGACTTGAACCAGTGTCCAGTCTGTAAAGAGGAGGGTCAACACAGAGGAATCATTTCCTCCATGCTTCCAAGAGAAGCCAACAATGGTCAAGCAGGACCTTTGACTTATCTTCACATAGATGGAACTGGTAATAGAAAGGAGCCAGGGGCTCCTCCCAAGCCCATGGGACCCCTGAGGAACAGATCCTCAAACGACCTCAAGAGTAAAAACAAATCAGTTTATCTGGTCCAATGTTATGTCCTTAAACACCCAAAAGGGAAGTATAACCAAAGATTAAAGGGGCCAATATAATTTCATAAGCGCATACATATATATAGCTAAAAGTTACTTGACAAACAGCAAAGCCAGACAGGCGATACCTTCAGTCGAGCTGTTGGCCAGGATAGATAAAGGCTCTTCCAGACAGTAACCCAACATACTACTGGAAAAATGAACAGCAGACCCCAATTCTATCC